CAACCTCGTCCCCAGGGCCATCTCGGCCGACTCCTTTTCAAGATGGCGGTCGTCGGGGAGATGACCCTGGCGTTGGCTGGAATCACGTGATCAAAACCTCCAAGATTTTTGGAGGTTTTGATCACGTGGCTTATCTATTCAAAATGGCGCTCGAAACGTGAACTCAACGGTTTCACAAACTGGGATAGCTGTGGTGGGTCGGTATTTGCTTTGTTTTGATGATTTATTTGAAAAATGTCCTTCCGTCCTGCCGTCATCGGCAGTGTTGACCCCTAGACCGCCTACGGGAGTAGATCCAGTTCATTCTAGAATTCTTGAGGGATCCGCTCACTGCAGAAATCGGCGAGTAGAAGACTTCTATAACATCGAATGCTATCGCTAAATATATCCGTCAAGTTAAATTTCTTACACGAGTAGTTGGCATCTCAAAACCACGCATTGGACAAGAGAGACATAAGAGGACAACTGACAAGAATTCCAAAGAATATCGTTGCTTTTTAATCGACAAAACGTACCTTAATTAAATTTCGGGAATATTTGAATAAAAACAATGAACGCATCGTAACGGTTAAATCAATAACCGATCAAAGACCTAACGGTTATCCGGACATACCGACAGTGTCGAACACATCCCGACCTATAGACGAACATAAACAGCCAATAATGAGTGATATAAGAAAAGGCATTTTGAATAGCCAATCAGAAAGCGGCTTAGTTCAGCCAACGCCAGGGTCATCTCCCCGACGACCGCCATCTTGAAAAGGAGTCGGCCGAGATGGCCCTGGGGACGAGGTTGAGTGAAAACAAGAAAATGGCATTAACGGACTCTGTCAATAATCCAATTTCGAGATCTTATTTGTGCATGTAATATATATTATTTTATTCAGCAGAGAATCTATTGTAATGCAAACACTCTGTGTACAAAGAAGACAATAAATATTCGTGCTTGAAAGAGAATTCTAAACTGGAGTATTGTCGAAATTGAGAATCTTGGGTCGTCTCCTACTTTAAAGTCCGAAGTACGTTGACATAGAGCGGAATTTGTATGAGTGGGACACCGTTACCGCACGGTTACCGCACAGTTACCGCACCTGGCCTGCACAATTTTGGTGAACCAATGGGGCACTAGAATTTGGTTACAGTACGATTACGGTCACAGTACAGTACCGTCCGTTTCCCACTCATACGAAATTGACTCTATGCGCTGGGCTGCGTACTCGTTAGAAATCAAAACTAAACAGCCAATAAGAGCGAGGTACGTACACCCTGGTAAATCTTCGTCGATGATTCGCAGACGAACACAACGACAGCATTGGTTCGACTGAACGCAGTCTAGCATGATTTCTCAGCAGTTTCATTAGTTTGTCCGAAGTTTGTCAATTGAAATAATTTATAATCCTTTCAGTGTTCAACAGAAGACAAGAAAGGCATGATTGGTCAGCCAGTCATCGGTCATGATTTGTGTACAGGAACAGATATTGGTTGTCCTTCCAGTTTATGGCCAAACACAGAAACTTCACCTCAACAAAAGCCATTTGTATTCCATGCAAAAGAAGATCAAGAAGACACAAGCATAGATGGAATTGGAATTATTGATGCAATGTTGAAAGTTCTTGAGAAAATAACTGATGGAAATGACTCTGAACATTTGGCAGAGTTTACAAATTACAACAGCAACGAAACAGTAGATAAATATGTCAACAATAAAGATAGTGATGAGAATATGAAAAGTGTACTTCAAGAAGGAGATGGGGATGGGATGGGAAATGACAACAACAATGAAGCAACAAGTACCTATGTTAGAAATAAGGATAGTGATGACAATATGGAATGTGTACTTCAAGAAGGAGATGTAAATGACACTCAATGTTTGGTTCGGTTTACAAGTAACAACATTAATGAAGCAACATATATCTCTGTTCATAACAATGGTCAGAAGGAGAATGCTTTGTCTCCTGCGGTGAAACAAAGCAAAATTCCTTTTAATTGTTCTTACTGCAGCAAGAAATTTAACTACAAAAGTAGTTTGAATGATCATATAAGAATACACACTGGAGAGAAACCTTTTGAATGTTCTTACTGTAAAAAGAAATTCACACAAAGGTCGCATTTAAAACATCACATAACAGTGCACACAGGAGAGAAAGCACTTCAATGTTCTCTTTGCCAAAAAAGATTTGCCCATAAGACCACTTTAAGAACTCACCTATATACGCACACTGGAGAGAAACCTTATGAATGTTCCTTTTGCTGCAAGAAATTTACAAGGAAGTCACATTTGAAAGATCATTTCAGGATACATACCGGAGAAAAGCCATTTGAATGTTCTTATTGTGGGAAAAAATGCGCACAGAAATCAAATCTGGTATCTCATATAAGAACACATACAAGAGAGAAGCCCTTTCAATGTTCACACTGCAAAAAGACATTTACAAGTAAGAATAGTTTAGATTATCACTTGAAATTACACACTAGAGAGAAGCCCTTTGAATGTTCATATACTGCAAAATGAAGTTTTCACTAAAGGTGGGCGTTTCAAATCCTTTTATTGCTTTTTTTAGATTTACAATTATTTATTACTATAGCATCGTATCCATGGTGTGCATTCACGACTTTCCATACTCAGGTCCAGTGACCATGAACAAAGCATTGCAACGAGGCGTCAAGGTACAGCGATAACAAAAGAAAAGATCTGTGATCAGTAGGGCTGTCCACAAGTTGCTCCAAAAAGTTCAAAAAGTTGCCCTAAAAAGTCCAAAAAGTTGCCCAAAAGTTGCTAAAAAAATCAAAAAGTTGCCCAAAAGTTGCTCAAAAATCAAAAAGTTGCCCAAAAGTTGCTAAACATAAAGTTTATTTTTTTAATCAATTAGACGGTTTAATCGAAAAAGGGCTCAATTGTCCTGAATCTGAATGAATCTGAATCACTGGAGCATTCAACTCCGTCCGCCATTTTGTTTACAAATGAAACGAGTCCCATGCTAGCTCAACCTTATTTTACACAGGGAGCCCACTCTAAAGACAGCAATTGTTTGATCAAGTACATTTATAAAAATCAGTATTGAAAATACAAAGTCTACTCTTTTTTAATAGATTACGTGGTTTAAACCCTGAAAAAGTCAGAAAAAGAACAAAAAATGCTAAAAAGATCAAAAGTTGCTCTAAGTTGCTCGAAAGTGAAAAAGTTGCTCGAAATTCAAAAAGTTGCCCAAAAGTTGCCGAGCAACTTGTGGACAGCCTTAGTGATCAGTGTTCCTTGACGCCTCGGTTCAATGTTTTGTTCGTAGTCACTGAACCTGAGTATGGAAAGTCGTGAATTGGGTTTGTTGACAGGATTTCATAGATGTGTCTATAGTAGGATTCTTTTAGACCAATGAGCAATCACTTCCGGTGTTGCGTAGTCATTAAATTAGTGAACCAAAATAAAGAAACATGGCGAATGACAGTCAAAGCGAATTTTCTTCTAGTCTTTCTGAAATAAGTATTTAAAAAGAGGCCTCTACTTAATGAAATGGAAGACTGAAGGAAAAATCCTAAAATAGGCACGTCTATGAGAACGTCATGTCACTCCTAGTGACACATGAATTATTATAATATTTGAATTTACTCAAAAGATATTTTAATACATTTGAGCACGAGAAATTTTCCGTATCAAAAAAGTATTATTCCGTATTTTCAAAAAGATAGCTTTAAATCTGACACGCAAGATCTTTTATTTTGAAGCATGTTCATTTTTGCAAGAAAATGTATGTAAGGTGAGCTGCGTTACCACGCAGTAGTACTCTCGACCTTATTGTAAGGTACAGAAAGCTGGATATCACGTACCGTACAGGAAGAGAAGAGACTAACAGCATTACCCACCAGATGTCTTCTATCACCACAAGAATAAAATGTACTCAGTTGAGCCACTCACTTTACCTATATAAACACGCACCGTTGTACAAAGGATATTTTTATGTTTTATGCATTTTGTGTTTTTATTCTAAAATATAAGGTGAAAATAAAAATTTATTACATATAAGTATAATAGAAATCTGTATGCTGAAATGCACATATTATGAAAAATAGCAATACGTCCAATCAGAAGCGCGTATAGCATTTTTCACGTGTGAAAATATAACCAATCACAACACAGAAAACCCGTAATCAACCAATCAGAAAGCGACGTTCACAACACTGAAATGGCTTTTCTCACATACTGCGCGTTGATGGCAAAATGGCTGAAGGTGAACTGTGTTTGTTGATCAAAATTCCACATTTGAAGAGTTTATTAGTGGACAGGAAAGCAAACAAACTAAAGCAAAGTAAGAAGACATGTTTTTTTTCAAGAAAATTAAGTTTTTTGCCATCCAAAATGAACATGAAAGCATGAAAAACATCAGTCAAAACTATAAACTTAAACGAACAGAAGTTTGTCTCGTTCGTGTTCACTGAGTTCARGTCGTTTTATACCGAGTTTTGATCGTTTTCTGCAAAACTTAATCTAATCTCCATGCAATTAAGAAAGACAGGACTTCAGTAAGAGATGTACCTGTAGGAAAGCTGAATCAGCTCAAACGAAGAGGGAAATTGAAGCGCGTTATCTTGCATACCAGCAAAGAGAAGTAGGTTTCTCGAAGAAGAACTTTTATTTCTTAACTCTATACTTACTATAAAATTTCTCTAAAACTTGGACGCACTTGCAGCTTCAGTGGAAAGTACGACGATTACTTTAGTTGTTTTTTATCAAGTTTATTAAGTTCCGAATTATCTGTGCATTTTAAATTTTATCTATATAAGCTCATATTGAGTTTGTTTCTCATAATAGTTGAACAAGCTTTCGAACGAAAGTCTCGTTATTATAGCACGGAAAGTGCGACGTACGGGATTTTATTCACGAGTTGTTTGCATCATACAACGAACGGGCGAGGAACGAGCGAGTTTATGATGCAAACAACGAGTGAATAAAATCCCGTACGTCGCAATTTCCATGAAATAAACTATATATATATTTTGACTATCATGCATTATTGAAGGCATTTAGACGAAGAAACGGCTTTTATTCTCATCCTTATTCATTATTTCTCATTCCACCTCCCGCACTCCACTTTCTTAGACATTCCCGCCAAATCGGAGATGTTGTAACGTGATTGGTCCGAAAGACAGTCCAGAATGCATTTCGGCCTGACTGTCGAGTAACGCCTGGTAGAAGTTGGTATTTTGTAGTGTGTTGGTCTGATGTGTTTGTTGAGTTTATTGTGTGATTTCACTCTATTTCTAGGGGTTTATTATTCCTTTTACAAACAAGATGGATACTAAATGGATAGAATRCAAGTGTAAATCAGGACAGACTCTGTATTACTACAACAAAGTGACAGGAGAACGCAAGTGGCCTTGTGTAAGTTAAATGACTATGTAGATTTTCACTCTCTTTGTATGAATGATTGCATGTTAATTTGCCTCATTTCGTTGACACAATTGAATTTTGCGCGGTTGATTCTTTCTTTATTGAAGCACTAGTTTTAGTTTATTATATCTACGACATACATTTTGTGCGTAAGAATTGATCAGGTGGACAAAGATAGTGTTATGTAAGACAGCCCCACAATTTTAGAATGCCTGGWATTTCAGTATGTTTACATAAGGATGTGATCACTATTTTGTAATCAAAATGCAATTTAGTAGTGCGATAGTAGCCTTCTTCGCAGGCTACTCCATCGGAAATGGACATTTTTCTCTTCTTGGTCTTCCTGTGTTGATATTCTTGACCGAGAAGAACTGGTGTCAATAGATTAGGAACAAAATATTTTTAGTATAATTTGACTTTTCATTTTTTATTTGTTTGTTTATTTTGCAAAAATTACTCCTACTGTAAAATGTTAAAGTTTGTTTAACCGATTAAATTGTTAAATATCATTTCAGGCCGTGATTGGTCAGCCAGTCATCAACAAAGACTTGTGTACACAGACAGATATTGGTTGTCCTTCCAGTTTAAGGCAAACCACAGAAACAACACCTCAACAAAAGCCATTCGTTTTCCTTGCAGAAGATGTTAAAGATGAAGAAGACAGTAGCATAGATGGAGATGGAATTATTGATGCAATGTTGAAAGTTCTTGAGAAAATAACTGATGGAAATGAAGCTGAACATTTGGTAGAGATTACAAGTGACAAAAGCAATGAAACAACAGATAAATATGTCAACAATAAAGATAGTGATGAGAATATGGAAAGTGTACTTCAAGAAGGAGAAGGGAATGGGATGGGAAATGACAACAACAATGAAGCAACAAATACCTCTGTTAGCAATAAAGATAGTGATGAGAATATGGAATGTGTACTTCAAGAACAAGATGGAAATGGCACTGAATGTTTGGTTGTGTTTACAAGTGACGACATTAATGAAGCAACAGATATCTCTGTTCATAACAATGGTCAGAAGGAGAATGCTTTGTCTACAGTGAAAGAAAACAAAATTCATTTTAAGTGTACTTATTGCAGCAAGAAATTTACCAACAAATATAATTTGAATATTCACATAAGAATACACACTGGAGAGAAACCTTATGAATGTTGTTACTGTAAAAAGAAATTTACACGAAGGGCACATTTGCAAAGTCACGTAATATTGCACACCGGAGAGAAAGCATTTGAATGTTCTTATTGCCAAAAAAGATTTGCCCATAAGACCACTTTAAGAACCCACCTATATACGCACACTGGAGAGAAGCCTTATGAATGTTCCTTTTGCAACAAGAAATTTGCAAAGACATCACATTTGACAGCTCATGTAAGAACACATACCGGAGAAAAACCTTTTGAGTGTTCTTATTGTGAAAAGAAATTTGCACAGACATCACATTTGTCAAATCATCTAAGAACACACATGGGAGACAAACCCTTTGAATGTTCTCACTGCAAAAAGACATTCTCAACTAAGAATGGTTTAAAGCAACATTTGAGAATACACAGTGGAGACAAACCATTTCAATGTTCTCACTGCAAAAAGACATTCAGAACTAAGAAAGGTTTAGAGCAACATTTGGAAATACACATTGGAGAGAAACCATTACAATGTTCATACTGCAAAAAGAAATTCTCACAAATGTCAAATATGAAACGTCACCACCAAAGGTCACATACTAGAGAGAAGCCCTTTGAATGTTCTAATACTGCAAAATGAGATTTATATTATATGATTTATATGAGATTTATTGTTGTTGTTTCTTTTACAAGAATTTATTACAAGGAGCATCCATGGTGTGTATTGGGTTTGTCGACAGGATTTCATAGACGTGTCTGTTGTAGGATTGTTTTCGACCAATTAGCAATCACTTCCGGTGTTTCGTGCTCACTGAAATCCGTGAACCAAAATAAAGAAATATCGCGAATGACAGTCAAAGCGAATTACTCTCGACCTTAATGTAAGGTACAGAAAGCTGGATACCACGTACCGTACAGGAAGAGAAGAGACTAACAGCATTACCCACCAGATGTCTTCTATCACCACAAGAATAAAATGTACTCAGTTGAGCCACTCACTTCCCCTATATAAACACGCACCATTGTACAAAGGATATTTTTATGTTTTATGCATTTTGTTGTTTTTTTTCTAAAATATCATGATAGGTGAAAATAATTTTTTTAAAAAAGATTTTGATTGACCTGAAATATTGAAGACATTTAGACGTCTTGCTCACTTAATTTTATTCCTAGTTAAATGTTTCAGAGCCTTAGGAATGTCCTTTTTTATATATTTAACAATTATTCACCTCGGGGCTCACCCTTTAGTATAATTTCATAAGTAAATATTCATAAAAATAGAGAAAAAAGAACTACTGCATTTTCGTGAAATGTTATATGGCGGGGATTGAAGATGGCGGTCGAGGGCCGCTCGAATTGACAGCARAGTCGTCTTCTTGTAATAATTGCCATCCTTCGTCCTTATGGACACGTAAAACTTTGATAGACACTTGTTTAATTCACTTGTATCCATATCTTCAAAGCTGACAGTGAATTCAGACTGTTGTTGAAACCATTCTGTCAAAAAAAGTATCGAGTAAAATGTAAACAAACCAGGCGAAAACCTACAAATTTCAACCTGTTTGACGTAAAACGATAAATAAAAAAGTAGTTTTAGACAATGTTTTTATCATTAAATAAACAAAACTAACCTGTAAAAAGGTTTAATCCAATTTTTTTAATCCAATTTTTTAATCCAACAACGACTCGCTGATGACGCCATTTTGCGAAAAAATCCAATATTCACCTATAGGTGAACATCGCTCATTGAAGCGTCAAATTCGACCAATCAGCGCGCTAGAATTATGATATTCAATTATGAAATTATACTAAATATCCTTTAATTCATTATTTGTTATTCCATGTTATTCCACTTCACCGTAAAGCTGCAGCTCAATATTAGTACGAACTAAATTCTCATAAACATACTCTTTATAATATCTGTTCGCATGTCAACAAAACTGTTGTAACTCATATTCCTTTTTAGAACGGAGCATCTACCTTTGAAATAGC